TTCGTGTTGTTAAACAAAAATTATTTAAGAGAAAAAAACTAACGATTGTTTGTTTGTTTGTTTGTTTCCGAGGAGAAGGGAGGGAAGGTGGGGGAGGTAAAAGAACGTGGCCGTCTTAAAAGATTTTAAAAAAAATTTTTTAAATTTAAATGATCACAACCCGGGAGTCAAATAAAAAAATTTTTTTTTTTTTTGCAAATTTTCCTTTTCCCCTAATAATTTTCCCTGTCTCTCTCTCTCTCTCTGTCTCTCTCTCTCTGTCTCTCTCTACGAATTAATTATACTTATTCGTTTTATATATATACATTCACATTTTTTTACGCAAGAAAAAAAAAAAAGGGTTTTTATCGATTTCTTGTCAAAATGTTTTTGTGAAAGGTCACTCTTTAATTAGATGATAGCGTGCAAGTAGAGACGTATAAGAAAAAAAAAATTTATATATATATATGTATAAAAATAATTTTGCGGTTAAATTATTTTACGTCGCCATCGGGTGAATTTATTGCCAGAAGCTTGTCTTGTTTATCATAACAACAACAACAACAACCGAGCGAAGCAAAAAAAAGAAAAAAAAAACCTTTTTATGTGCGTTTTTTTTTTTTTACCCTACATACATGTCACATTTAAAAAGTTTTGACTCGTCGTTTGAATCCAATTTAAATTACAAAACCCTTCCCCTTCCCCCCTTTCCCTCACCTCTTCCTCTCCCATTCCCTTCCATCACTCCCTCCTCTCCCCTTATTCCCCCGATTCTGTTTCCAAATAATAATAATAATAACGATTGCAACGGATATTATTGAAATTTACTTTTTGCTTCATCGCGTGTGTGATTATTATTTTATATATATATTCTCGTTACACCCGCCTCCTTTCTCTCTCTCTCTCACTCTCTCACTATCTCTTTCTATCTCTCTCTCTCTCTCTCTCTTAATCTCCTATCGATACGTAATTATTATAATTAATAATAAATTTTATTTTAATTTAAATTAATGTGACACAACAACGCGCACGCCAACGTTCGAAAGAAAAAAAAAAACGTAATTAAAAAAGAGAGAGAGACGGAGAGAGAAGGGGGGAAGAGAGAGAGAGAGAGAGACGGAGAGAGAGAGAGAGAGAGAGAGAGAGACGGAGAGAGAGAGAGAGAGAGAGACGGAGAGAGAGGAACGTATTTAAATATTATGGAATTTTAATTTAAATGAGGCGGCACTATTCGTTGAGACTACGCAATGTCGTGGCAGCATGTGGCGAAGAGTTTTCCTACCTTGAATTTACGTACAGGAACGCTACCGGATTTTCTTTTTCTTATCGTTATCAATAAAAATTATTATTATTATTATCACTATCATTATTCGATCGATTTTATATAATTTCTAAATTACCCATAATAATGATAATAACTACTAAATATTTCGATGGAATTTCGATCGAAGGGGGAAAAAAAAAATTTTTGTTTCGAGAAAGTTGACAAAATGTTTAACCCACACACGTAAGATCCGCCATTTTAATTCTTATCGATAATGATTTTAAACGTATGAAATATTTTAATTGTAGTCATTATTATTATTATTATTATTATTATTATTATTATTATTATTATTATTATTATTATTATTATTATTATTATTATTATTATTATTAAAACGATTAAATCGAACGTTTTTAACACATTTGCGGTTATTTTTTAGTTTTTTAGTTCGTGAAAGTATTTTTCGTGTGACGTAATTTTTTTTTTTTAAAAAGTTTTTGGGACGTTTAAAAATTTAATTATCGTAATTATGATGATTGTCGTGTCACAAGAGAGAAAAAAATAGGTTTATTTAAAAAATAATAATGATAATATATATTTATATATATTAAATTATTCCATACAAGCAAAAATAATATACTTAAAACAAAAAATTTTGTTTTTTTTTTCCAAATAAAAATTTTTAATTAACATTTATTTATTTATTTAATTAATAATTATACATACATAATTTTTTATTTTACGTTGTTATTACTATTATTATCATTATTAATAATAATTTTTTTTTTCCAAAGAAAAGCAGTCGAAATTTTTTTTTTTTCATTTTTAAATTTTAAAAATTTATGTCGTTGCAATTATTATTATTATTATTATTTTTTTTTTAATTTTTCGTTCGTTATACAATTTATTATTATTATTATTATTATTATTATTATTATTATTATTATTAATGAAAATTTAAAAAAAAAAAAAAAAATTTTTTTAGTAAAAGAAAGAAATTTTTATTTTTATTTTTTTTTCATTAAGCCTCGAGCAAAGCTTCCAATTATTATTATTATTATTATTATTATTATTATTATTATTATTATGGGCGTGGGTAGTGGTAACTTATTAATATTGTTGATGTGAGAAACCTACTGCGGTAGCAAACGCACACGCACACACACACGTACGCACACGCATTCACACGTTACACACACGCACACACAAATAATCCTTTTACGCTTACGATTCATATATTAATAATAATAATAATAATAATAATAATAATAATAATAATGAAAATAATTGTTGATGTTTAATTTTTAAACATTGATTAATTACACAGTTCTTTGGTTAACGGTAACGCCTCTTGTTTTCCCGCCAATTCTCCTTTCTTTTATACACACACACACGCACACGCACGCATATTTGTATATATATACATTACATGAATTTTATTCGATGAAAAAAAAAACAAAGGGCAAAGGTCAAAGATATAAATTTAATTTTTTTTATTTTTTCTCTTTTTACACCTAATTGACTAAATATAAAGGGGGGAAAAAGGATAGAGTTAGTGAGTGAGTGAGTGAGGCAGAAGAAAATTTGTTAAAGAGAGAGAGTGAAAACAAAAAGAGAGATAAAAAAATTGGAGAGAAAACATAGAGAGAGAGAAAGAATAAGAAGGAAAATATCGGGAAAACAGAGAGAGTCAGAAAGAGAGGGAAATTAGACGGAAAAATTTGAGAGGAATGAGAAAAGAGAGAGAGAGACAATTAGAGAAAAAAGAGAGGGGGGAGAGAGAGAGAGGGGGGGAATAACAAAAAATTTAAAAATTAAAAATAAATTTCGTTTTTGCAATGCGACATTTAAAAAAAAAAATTTATAAAAATTATTATTTTTTTTTTTTTTACAAAATCGAAATAATCGAATATTCGAGTAATCGATAATCGTTTTATTTTTTTCATTTCATTATTTTATAACTTGTGATAATTATAATAGAAAATTTCTTTCGGTATAATTAACAATTTTATTTACTCTAAGAGATTTAAAAAAAAATTAATTAATTAATTAAAATAATATTATTTATTAAAACGCGCTAAATGGCTTTTTTTTTCAATATTGGTAACTACTACTATTCGAATTTTTTTTTTTTTATCGAACGTTTACAAAAAAAATTTATTATCATATTTTATGTACATAATTCAAATTTTATTATTATCATTATTATCATTAAAAAAAAATCAAATCATTGACGACAATAATAATAATAATATTTAACATTGACTCGATCGTTTTTTTTTTCTTTTTTTCTTTCTTACTTAATTTTAATTTTTAATTTATTACTATTATTATTATTATTATAATTATTTAATTAATTAATATATGTATATATATATTTATGTATTTTTAGAGCATTGAATTGCGCCATTTTACAATTTTTTTTTGTTATTAACCAATAAAAAATTGTCAAAAAATTTGTTATGCCGCTCAAAAAGACTCGTAAATATTATTTTAAACGATGGTAAATTTTAATTAATTAATTTTATTTAATTTAATTAATTTTTATTTTTAATTAAAAAAAAAAAATACGCACGAATTATTATTATTATCATTCATAAAAGAGAGAGAGAGAGAGAGAAAAAAAAGTTGCCATAATTACTACTAGCGTACACGCTATAAAAATAATAATAATAATAATAATAATAATAATAAATATAAAATAAATAAATTATTATTATTACGAATTCGTGTCGTTTTACCTACCACCATTTTTATCAATGAATGACGTAATTCAAGCAGACGATTTTTTTTCAAATTTTTTCTACTTACTAAAATCTATTATTTTCATTTCGTAATAATAATAATAATAATAATAATAATACGTGATTGTTTACATACTTTTGTGCATATTTTCTATTATTAACTTTACAAAAAAATAATACTAACTATATATATTATTTACCTAACTCGTCAATAATAATAATAATAATAATAATAGTGATAACGGTAATAATAATAATAATAATAATAATCGTGGACGAGTATTCGAATAACGACTGGAAGTATCAAAAAAAATTAAAATGTCTTTTCTGAATTTTTTTTTTTTTTTGGGGGGGAGGTCATTATAAATTGTTTAAAAAATTTATAGAAATATTAAGAGAGAAGGGGGAGGGGGTAAGGGGGTAAATTAATTAAATAATTAAGCAGCGTTCGACGAATGATATACACACACAATTAAAATTCGAAGCCATTTTGCTTTCTAAACACTAAAAAAAAAAAAAAAAATTCGAGGCTTAAAATTAATCAAGTTTTAATATTAAAAAAAAAAAAAACTACGCTACAATGGTGATGATAATAATAATAATAATAATAACGAGGGAATCCATTTTTTTTTTTTTTAATCGACTACCGATTATAAAATAGTAAAAATGGCGTATTAACGTTTTTTTTTTTTTTTATTATTCTCGTACCACCACGCACAGTCACGGACGTGTGGCAAAGGTCAATCTCATCAATATCTTTGCCATAAATTTAAAAATTGGCCGTAAAAAAAAAAAATTTATTAGAAAAATAAAAAAACGACTTTATAAATCAAAAAAAGAAAAACTTATTATTATTATTTTGTTATTAATGAGAAAATCGGTTCGGCGGTGAACGGCGACGGCTGCCGCCGCCACCGTCGTCTTAATTTATTTTTCCGTTATTCTGAACGGATCGAATTTCCACGTGGCGGGTCTTTTAATATTCTTCAACGTTCTACCAATAAAAACATTTAAACGCTTATGTGACGTTTCATGTGAAGTGATAAATGATCTGAACGTGAAAATGCTCTTTCGCATAGTCGACACTGGAAAGGTCTGTCGCCGGTATGTTTTCTATAATGTCGGGTCAATTCGTCGGATCTAGCAAATTTCCAACTGCAACCTTTCCATCCGCACTGATAAGGTTTTTCTCCAGTGTGAGTTCTCAAATGCGCTTTGAGATGAGATGATTTCGTGTAGGTTTTCCTACAACCTGGATTCGAACAAGTGTGAGTCGTTAATTTTTTACGTCCGCAACTCCTTCTCCCTCTTTTCGTTTTATGTTCTATAACTTGATTGTTAACGACGGGTAACGACGATAGGTATTCGGTTAAATTCGGCGACGATGGTGGCGTCATTATTTTTAGCGACGGTAAATTTTCCGACGGTAATATTTTTTGCTGATTAAAATGAGGGGCGGTGAATAGATCGTGCGGCGTCGTGCCTTGTATTTCCGGACTTGCCGGCGGTGACAGAGTTCCAGAACCGTTAACGTAACCCGATACCGGTGTCATGTAATTAGTAGGATCACGCTGTTGAACGTTGTACGATTCGGGCAATGGCATTTCTGACACGTTTTGATCTTGCGGTATGTAAACATCCTCTCGCAACAGTCTTTGCTGTGTAAGATTATGATCGTTTTCTAAAAATCTGTATGATCTTTGGTCGAGAGATGATGGAGATGACGAAGACGATGACGTCGGCGACGACGACGACGACGTCGTTGACGACGATGTTGACGAAGACGACGACGATTCCGTTTCCGTTTCGGGAAATTTAAATAATCTCTGACTATGATTCTGTGTTTTCGTGCTAAAATATGCGTTCACGTTTAAATCAACGTTAACGTTTATGTTTATGTTTTGCGATCTTTGTTCTCCGCAATAAAAATTATGTTGTTCTGCCGCGCAATTAATAAGCATGTCCAAATCGACAAATTCTTCATTTGAAGTACCCGAATTTTCATCATCCGTCGTCACGACGTATTGTTGTTGATGATGATGATGATGTTGTTGATCCTGATGGGTTTGATTTTGTTCGTTTGTAGCATAAGGAGGGATATCGATAGAGGGTTGACGAGTAGGTGATTGTGTCGTACCGCATAATCGTACAGGTGAAGCTTGTGGCGGTGTAGGTTGACCCAGCAACACACTTTCAATATCTTGCCACATCTGAAACAAAATTTTTTATATAACTCAAATATAATTTTTTTTTTTTTGTCATAACCGCACACACGAAATCGTCGTAAATACCCCCCCCCCCCGCATAATTGATGGCGGATAAAATTTTTTTTTACTATCAATTTTCAGACTTTTTTGTTTTTTTTAGGGTTTTATAGATTTAAAGACATTACGGAATTATGTGAATCGGTTAATATTCAATTAAAAGGCCCCCGTTTTGTATGTTAATCAGGCTAATTGTTATTATCGTATCTCCATAGTCTTGAGGCGATACAACTTTATGCTTTATAATTAAGTTCGTAGCATACGAAGATTTAGTACAACTTTTTTTTTTTTTTTTTTAACACGAAACTCAACCTCCTCTCCCCGATTTAAAATTACGTTCACGAATATGAAATAATAATCACAAATTATTACACCATTATAATGATAGTCTACCCTCCTCCCCTCCCCCCCCAAAAAAAAAATATCAACGAAACAAAAAAATTTTTTATAACAACAGGTTGAAACTTGTAAAGACAAAACAAAACGTTTTAATCGCCATTTTTTGTCGTAAATCTAATTTAAATTTAAAAAGGTTCATAGAGTAATAAACAGGTTTATATAATAAAAAAATTTTGATGCAAATGTTGTTGTTGTTGTTAAACGTTTTGTTAAATTTTTTTTTTTTTTTCAATGAACTATAAATTTTTTTTTTGTGACGATAATAAAGAACAAGTCGTTCTATTGTTTACGTGAAAATAATAATTTTTACAAAATTTTATCGATTTGAACAGAAAAAAATGTTGTTCGACGAGAAAGAACGAGATTTTTTTTTTTTTTTAAGGAATAATATTACAGACGATTTATCATTTAAAAAAAAAAAAAAAATCACAATTTCGGTTCTTAATAATAATGATACCACCGAGTTTTTACCTCACAAGAAGTAAAAAAAGTAGCTCCGAAAAAAAAAAGAATTTTCTTATTACTTGTTAAATTCTTTTAATAAAAGTAACGCTATGAAAAATATTACAAAACGTTTGATATATCGAATCGTGACGTCATTATAACTACGTCATAAACTAAAAATCGTTGAGAAAGTGAGAAGAAAAAGAAAAAAAGAGAGCGAAATGTGACCAAATCGCCGCCATATTTACAAAGGAATTAATATTAACACCATCGCGAACCCATTTTCGTGTCTTATCACATCGCTTATCATTTTTTAAAAATGGCCGACGGATGAATGAAGAAAAAAACGATGTGACGGCGTCAAAAATTTTTTTTTTTTAGTTTAAAAAAAAAGATTCTTTGTATATTGAATGATTATCTTAAGACAGAAAAATTTTAAGGCACGAGTTCGTGTGTGCGCGCGTACGAGTTTTATAAAATACAATCGAAGGTTCCCCCCCCTCACTTTCCTCCTCTGCCCCCCGTGAAATTCTTCGTTCCGACCCTGAAAATCCACCAAGTCTGTAAATTGTAATTGAATAAAGAAAAAAAAAAAGGAAAACCTGTGATTAGATCACGACTTAGTTCTAATTAGCAAATAACCGGTTCGGTGAAAAGAAAGAGATATGCGTTTTTTACCGTAGTGATGTATTTATCATTATTATTATTATTATTATTAATTATTTAAATGGTCGTCCGTAGATTGAATATATATATATTTTATGACACGAAACGACAAAAATTAGATTTTTGAATTAAATTAATGATTTCCGCAATTTTTTACGAATGAACGGGCGGTAAGAAAAAGGAATCAACGAACGAAGGTCTCAGGTACAATTAAAATCCAGGTATGGAGGTTTTTATATGTTCCCCTCCCCCTTGTTGTTGTTGTCATTTTTCTCCTTCATCAATAAAAAAAAAAAAAAAAATTTGAACTGGTTTACCAGGAAATTATTTTATAAAAAAAAAGCAGACGCCTAATTTAAAGTTTTTTTTTTTTTAAATTTTCTCATATTAAATCGATCAAGTTTTCTTTTGTTTTTTTTTTTTTTTTAAATAATTGTAACTGTGGACGATATAAGTTTGTTAAAAGAGAGAGAGAGAGAGAGAGAGAGAGAGAGAGAGAGAGAGAGAAACGGGAAGAATTATTTATTATGAAAAAAAAAAATTTTCCTCCGAGGCAAAAAACGGATCTTTTAAATATGATATCATAAATTATTAAAAATAAATCATTTTTCCTTCTCCTCTCCTCTATCTTCTCTTCCCTCCCCTCCCACCTCCCCGCACACGCCCGCCCCCCCACGTCACATTTCGAGTACGTGATGAATACATAAAAAAAATAAAATGAATTCGTTTTTTTTTGTTGCCCTTTTCAAGTTTTTTACAAAAAAAAAAAAAAAAATAAAAACAACAAAAAATATAAATATAAACAAAAAAAATGGCTGCCAAAAATTTGTTTTTAAACGAAATTTAATGAGAGATGTTAAGCCCGGAAGGGAAAACTGGAGAAAAATAAAATAAAAATAAAAACTGGAAGAAATAAACGTATCATGACTCCTATTTATTTATTTATTTATATAAAAAAAAATATTAAAAACGCGCCATATTAATTAAAGTTATAAATTTAAAAATGAAGAATGAGACGAAAATGAAAAATTTATTATTATTATTATTATTTGTCGTCGACGCCATTTTTTTTCTTTTTTGTAAATAAAGAATTTAAATTAATTTTTTAAAATATATAAATATAAATAACGGTTTTAATATGTATATGTAAACAATTAAAATTGATATTAAATGAATCGACCAATGAGAAAAAAGTTATCGAATTTAACTGAATCTGATTGGTCGATAATTATTACGTACATAACGATTATTCCAATGTTGCACAACCTGCTCGATGACGTCATGATAATCGTCTGTCTGTGTTACGGTTACAAGCAGAGAGTACGTGACCTACGGTATTTTATATATATTAATTTATTTTATGGTTTTTTTTTTTTTTTTTTGAGGGGGGGGGAAGTGTTTATTATTTTCGAAAGTGACGGACGAACAAACGGAAACGGTTATTTTTTTTTTTAACCGACATATTTAAAAGAAAAACACGTATTAAAATTGAAAATCGACAATTTTTTTTTTTTTCAAAATGGCGTCGCACGCGTTTGAAATGTGACAAAACGTTACGGGTATATAAATAAATTGTAATAATTATTCAGTTAATTGACATAAATTAAAAAAATTTTTTTTTTTTTTTTTGTAAAAATTGAAATAATAATTAATATGAAAAAAAAAAAAAAAAAAAAAACTTGTTACACTTGGTCTACACAAGTCGTTTGTTTGTTCGTTTGTTACACAATTTTTTTTTTTTTAATTTATTACTCCTTCGATATTATTTTATAGTTTTTTTTTAAAATAAAATGGCGTCGATTCCAAAAAAAAAATTATTTTATGGGGTTTAAAACAAACAAACGAAAAAAAATTAAATTTTTTTAATGTTTGTTCGAATATTTCAAGTCGAGAAATAAAATAAAAAAAACGAAACGTGTTTCGCGGTTGTTATTACCTAAATAAATAAAAATTTAAAAAAAAATTCGTGCTTTTTATTACTCTATGGATTTAACGGAAAAAATCTGTTCTTCAAGATTATTTCGGCTTACCACGTAATTAGGTAATAAAAACAATAAAAAAAAAAAATGAGAAAAACAAGTGTAATAAAAAAAGTGATAGTAAATATGGATGGAGTAAACCCGAGACGAAACAAACGTTCACTTGTTATTATCATTATTATTATCATTATTATCATTACGTAATAACGATGTTAACGGTGGTTTTATATGGCGGACTAATGCGAAATCCGAATGCAAAAAAAAAAAAAAAATGGGGAAAAAAATTGAAATCGTGCACGCGTACGAACGATTTGACTATCACATTGATTATCATTATTATTATTTTATCATGAATTGATAAGAAAGAAAAAAAAAGTAAACAAACAAACAAACAAAATTATGAAATTTCCATAATAATAATAATAATGGATGAAAACGTTTTTTTTTTCTTGTAAAAACGACGTAACGGAATTTTGGTGAGGAAAAAAAATGAAATTTTTTTGTAAAACGAGATATCGATTACGATCGTCTTGTTGCCCACCCTTGACGTGCACGTGTGATACCACGTATCACGATATTTTTAAAAAGCTCCCGACGTGATAACGTTTTTTTTTTTTTTTTGATATATCCAATTAATGAATCTTGTTAGAATGAAAAAAAAAAATGGTTCGTGACTAAATTAATCGACAAAAATTATTCTTGTTTGGGTATTTCATGTTTTTTTTTTTCCCCCGGTTAAAAAATAGTCGAAATTAGAAAGAAAAAAGTGGGGGGGGTCACGTGGTGTAAACAAGACATTGTGAAATTTTTCTTTTTTTTTAAAATTAAATTTATAAACAACGGAAGGAAAATTATTAACGAAAAAATTCGCGTTTTCATTTTGTTAACAAATTTTTTTTTTTATTTAAATTAATCTCGTTGATTAATAATAATAATAATAATAATGATGATAATGATGATGATGATAAACAACAAAAGCAACAAAAACATGGAGAATAATTATCTATTTAATTTATCCAATCACGGAAACTGTTTTCTTTTTTGTTTAAAAATATTTTTTTTTTTATCTGACATATTAGACAGATAATAAAAAAATCCTTCAGGACTTTTTGCAATTAAAACGTTAAAATTTTAGTTTTAATTAAAAAAAAAAAATGGAAAAAAATGAAAAATTATATTCGAATAAATTTTTTTCCATTTTTGTTGTCTCCTTGTTTTGTTGTTCATTTGCATATAAAACTTTATAGGACTCGATTATTTTCTCTCTCTCTCTCTCTCTTTCTCTCTTTTTCTCTACAAATTGTAGAGGCGTCACAATATATATATATATATATATATATATTTAAAATAATTTTTCACGCTATAAAATGCCTTAAATGCTCGACGTGAGATTTTTTTTTTCATTGTTTGTTAAAATTAATTAATTTTTTTTTTTGATTTGAGTCCTTGTTTTGTGAATGTGTGTAAACACACGACATTTTTTTTTTTTTATTTAATAATAATTTAAATTTATTTTTTTAAAATTTAATTATTAGTACATACATTCATACATAA